CATAGCAGATACGTCACTAGAAATGACAAATATGAATACAGAGAAATATTGCAAAATTTATATGAAGTGATACAGAGTGAAGAAAGAACCAAAACAGCAATTATACTGACTATAAAATATATAAATCATAGTAACTATAATAGACCAAAAAATCTAAAAAAATAACAGAAAAAAAAAGCTTAGAAGGTGGTATAAAATAAAACGGGATAGTTTTGACTATCTACCTAAGTTTATGTGAGGAAGATCTATGTTATCTATTGTCAGAGTTATCTGTAAGATAAAGAGCAATAAGAGATAGTTAACTCTCAAACTAAAAAATCATTAGGGTTCTTTGCAAGGAGAAATAATATACAAGGAGCTCATGAAGGTTTAACTCTGGAGCCTCAAATTTGCTTTGTTCATGGTAGGAGGGCCACCCCCACACACACAAAAGCTACAGAAAATTCCTTATTATTACTAGAGAGGGAAGGTTTACCTCCTGGGACTACAAGGACCAAGACAAGCATTTCTGGTAGCTTTGGCAGTCTTGCTAGATCCCTTCTTCACTCGATGGATCTGCCTCTAAAGAACTTCCCAGTTACCTGAAGCACTCTTTACTTGCAAACAGACACACATTCTTACATAAAGCTAACAAGAGAAGGAGATTTTGTCATCTCACTTAACAACTACAATACTGCAATGGCTTCATGATCTCATTATTATAGATAATTTCCTTCACTGGTACAGAGTACAATCTACCCGATGCCTTCTCCTCCTTGGCAATTCTTGTCCATGTTCTCCTACGTGTAATCCTCATAGAATCTACCCAATGTTTTAGGAACCTTGAGGTCTCTTTACATTTTATGGGTACAAGTGTAGCACTTAGGATGTCTACCCACTGTCCCTCATTCTTACTACATGCCAAGTCCACTTTTTTGTCTGACTGTACAGTACTTAATGATATTCTTATAACACTTCATAGATGTATGTCATTGTTAGGCATGTATCAGCCTGTTTTTACCCACCACATATCTATCATATAGCATCACCAGAACATCAGCATTAAAAAATGGAAGTAGCTTAAAATTGTTGAAAACACTGAATAATTTTTCCAAATGAAATCCAGCTCTTATTCAGCTCTAGACTCAACTTATATATTTATAGTGCTGTCTAGGAGATCAGAGTCCTGATCCCAAACTTGGTGAAAAGACCATCCAGCTGCACCTAAAACTTTGAACAATGAGTTATCTTTTCTTCCATCCAATCTTTCTGTATGGATTATTAAGGCTAATGTCTTGTGTAATCTTCTGTCATCAAGGAAGTCCTAGAGTGTTTGGGGCTTAATGCAATTAGAACATTCTTTATATATCTTTCCCTGGGATCTTATAAAGTAATCTCCCAATGCTTTGTGCTGTCTACAACATATATTTTCTTGGTGTATGCTTTGTCTGGTCCAGCCACATTTTCCAATTTCATCTTATTAAATGACATTTTAACTTCCTTCCTTGAGGACTGACAAGTTAGAATATCCCCACCCTACCACATGTGGACTCTTTCACTGCTGATGAAAAGAAATAGTTCTAGATATATAGACAGAAGTTTTATCTTTCATCTGTTTTTTGTCAATAGATCTTGTTGATCTATTGATATTTTTTAATCACAGGCTAGAACCAACACTTTCCAACTAAGTTCACTTATGATAACTGATGAAGGGAGAACTGGCTAACAGGTGGGAATTTAAAAGTAACTCACTTTGCCAGGTAGGTGGTATATACCCATAATTCACAGAACACTTCCCCCCCAAATATGCTCATTAATGTTACTAAAATCATAACACATCAAATAATTTGTTCCTAACTATAATAAATTAGTACACTTTTAAGTATGAAATCACTAGTGCACTGGAAAAGGTACTACAGTATATTAGAACCATGAAAATATAGACCAACAAATTCTACTCAATAAAACAGCTGTTCTGCTGTCTGAATAGCATACAAATACATAGAGAGAAGATAAATGACTAGGACTTCTACAAAGAGCTGGAACAGATGCAGGTGTCAAATTAAAACCAATAATCTCAACAACTAGTATAATAATTCAGAATTAAATATATTTTAATTGTTAAATTTTATAACTCATCATGGTGTAACCTCATTACATTATAATAATCCGTTAAGATAAAAACTGCCCAATATAAAAATACTATCTTCAAAATTATTCCCAAGAAATTACTGATCCCTGTTTCAACAATAATGATAATACTTTGCATGCATACATCATTTTACATTTTTCAAAATGCTTTTCACTGTCTATTTTGATCCCTCTTTTCAACAACCCTGTGAGGCAGGTGAGATAGTTTATGATACCCAAACTGAGGTCCAGAGAAGCTATAGGATTTGCCACCAGGTCACATAAAGTATGACAGAGCCAGAATTAGAACTTGGATCTTCTGACTCCTGGTCCAGTGGTCTTCCAGCATATCACACTTCTTTTTTTTGAAAGATGTCTTATTGGTATTTTTCTCCAACTTTGTCAACTGCTATGGCCACTTAAAATTATTAGGGCTCTTAATCGTGACTTTACTGTTGTGATAAAATGGCTTTATTTAGATATTTGTCAATTTCCATATGTGCTTTATAGATTATACATGTTTTTCCTTCTTATTTTCCTTAGCTTTTCTGCCAAGTAGGTGAACTATATTAGAAATGCCTATTGTAATATTAGTTTAATAAGAAAGTAAAATGTCTGGTCTATTTTGGCAGGATGTGTTATTGTATCTACCAATATGACATAAGACTTATTTTTTTATTTTTTAAGATATTCTTGAGTTTCAAATATTCAGTGGTATAAAAATTCCTCTTACCAATATGTGCATATGTATATATCACTACTTTAAAACTCCACATATAATCATTAGGTAAGCTTAAGAACATGATTAGGTCTACTGGTATAACCCTCACTTTGAAGGTTTATATAGCTATTATCAACTAAATGTTCTTTTATTAGATTTTAAATAGATGTGTTATTGAGAAATAAGTCATTTTTATTAACAAAATAAAGTTAGAAGTTAAGAATTCAATTTAAAGGAATGCTAGGGCTAATTCTTTTGAAATGTGAAAATCACTTTATCTGTTTTGTAAAACAAGATTTTTATGTATTATATTTAAAACCGGGTAGACTGTATCATATGATTTTGTATTTTTATGGCAGTTTTTCAAAGCTCTTTGACATTATTGTCCTAATTTAATATGGTACTTCTGGATGACTGTCATATAAAAAGGAAATGCTTAACCCAACAATAAATTATTGTAATGTATTATTTAATGTCCAAGATATCACAATGAAAAAACACACTGATATGAAGAGTGTGTATAACAATTTTTATAAATGCATCATTTCACACACACACACACACATACATCTTTATTCTGTGAAACATATGTTATCTTGTTGATTTTCCCATTGTTCTCCTTACATACAGGAATACAGGCCTGGCTAAATGGTAGGTCAGGTTTCTAGGACTTAGAATTATAACAGCAATGTTAGTATGGAAAACACTAATAATAATAGTAAACATCTTACATCTAGTTGGTTGCTGTCGAGGTGCTGCTTCTACTAACTCCTTAAGCTTCTTCTTTAGCTCCCTGCTAGTTTTCTTATAGAAATAAAGATCTTTTTCTAACAGCTGAACTTTATCCTCATAGGCCTTTGAAATTTCCACAATACCTTCTCCATTTTGCTCTATAAAACAAAAATTTGAATATCAAGTTAAATCACATGTAGCCGCCAGACTACACACTTAGACTTAATAGTTTTGAGCAATTAAAACTTAAAACTTCACTAAGACTTTTAGAATACCCAGTATTTGAAATGTACAGGTCTTTCAGAGTATATAATTCCATAGCTGATACATTTCTGCAAACTGAATGAGTTTGTTTCTGGTGCAGCTTGAATTAAAATAATGTAAAATCATATTTAGCTTGCATAGATAGTGCTTAAAAGCAGTCATAATTTAAAACATTTAAAATATCACTTTCTAAACATTTAAAGTAAGATACAAATTAATTAACTTAATGAGATCCCAATATGGGTATGTTTGAATGTGGTAAATTAAATGACCCTGACAAAAATCTCATCTTGGAAGCAACTGGTTGCTTCAGTTACTTATCAGAGGACTAATACACAGACAGTTTGTCTTAACATTCCAAATCATCATACCCTTCTTGACTGACTTTGTACCCACATTACTTCTTTTGGGACCCTCCTAGTAATTCATGCACAGCTTCAGACTCCAGGGAATCAGGCCTAAGCAGTCAAGGGGAACCAGGAGGTTTCTGGCAGAGGATTTGTCGCTAGTGCAACTCTTTTCTTTACTGTGCTGGCCTTGTGACCAGGTAATATAATGACCACCTGCTAAAGAAATATTCCATCAGAGCTGACTGATGGGATGCCAATGTATACTGACTATAAATGGACCATAGCATTGCTAATCAACTGCATATATGGTGAAGAATTTTAAGAGCAATCTAACTAAAGGTTCTAATAACTCTGATGTCTCCTGTCATAGGTAGGAAATTATTTGCCTTCCATAGAAAATGAGTACCCTCTGTCTGGGGCAAGCAAAAAAGTAATGACTGCTATAAAAGGATAATAATTTTAAAACTGTACATTTAATAGTTGTACATTACTTTGTCTCTTGTACTCTTACAGCTCCCCTACATGAAGCCTTTTCCCTGTACATACTCCAGCATTCATACATTTCACTAAGCAGAAAAATTACCTTTGAAATACTGCAGGAGTAACTGAATCTTTTGCTCATGCTCCTTGCGTTGAAGAGTTAGCTGTCTGTCACTCTGCAGCGTGAGGTGCTCTAATGCAGACTCCAGTTCACGAATCATGCTGTCTTGTTCCTGAACCTTCATTTTAATTTCTTCATTTTCTAACTTTAGTTTACGCTCAGCTTCTCGCAAATTAACCACCTACCAAATATATAATATTTTAACTTCTCAATTATGTTTCAGGTTACCTGATTAACCCGTTTTCCTTAGTCAGCATAATGATGACTTTCTGGAGTTATTGTAGCATCAATGGACAAACCAAGGTATTTGGGTTTTTATTAGAGTTATCTAACATCAGTATAAAAGAATTTGGCATTTACTAGCATTTGCTAGAAATTTGAATTGGTATTGAATTTTATTCAATTCAAGAAATATTAAGTGTCTACTTTGTGCAGTGCTTAGCACACAGCAGGTGCTTAATAAAATGCTTAATGAATAACTGCCATGCACTGTGCTGGGCACTGGTGATACAAATACAGAATCAATCACGGTCCCCATCATTTAACAGAAAAATAGCTATACATAACTATAATACAAATAAGATGGTAAGTACAAAGAGAGAGATCTATATAAAGTAGTATGGAGAAATTAAAGAGAAGTTACTTCTAGATTTGGGGTGGGGAGGAATTGGAATGGAAGGTTTTAAGGATGCAGTATCATGTCTGTATTAGGCCTTAAAGAGAAAGGAGAGGAATTCATTCAAGGTTTGAGATCTGACGTAAGCGAAAGGTGTGGGGACTAAAGATGACATGATGAGAAGAGGATTGATGGAATTAAGCAGTCCAATTTGGCTAGAAAGCATGTTGTATAAAAGGGAATGTTGTGAAAGACAGGTGTAAAGGTAGGTTGGAACCAGACTCTGGAGGATCTTGAATGCCAGGCTTAAAGAATTTATAATCTACTTGTAGATAACTGGGAGTCACTTATAGTTTGTGAACAGGGAAAGTGATGTGCTCAGTTCTGTGCATCAGGATGCTCATGCATACACATGGTGGTACAAAGCATGGATTGCAGTAGAGAAAGCCAAGACGGTGCAAGGGCCTTTAATCAGAGTAGTAGGAATGAAAAAGTAGATTATGATAGAATAAATAGGATTTGATAATTAAATAAATAAACTGGGGTGAGGGAAGATGAAAAAGAAAAATCCAAAATTTTAAATATAAGCTATTAAGAGAATGGTGGTGCTTTCAACAAAGATAGGGAAGTTAGGAGAAGAGGAAGGTTTCAGGAGTAGAAGAAAACAAGATATCCAGCAGACAGAAAGACGGGACTCTGAGGAGAGGCCAAGGAAAGAGATGAGAGATTTGGGAGTTATCCAAATAAAAGTATTTACTGAAGCCATGCGAATATTTGAGATTGCCAAGGAAGAGGTTTAGGTTGTAAACAGAAGATTATCAAGGACAAATCCTCGGGCAATGCCTACCTCTAACCAATGAGTTCCAGGGGTGGGGGAATAAATAATCAGAGAAGGAAAACAAGAAATAGTAATTTAAATATTATATCAAGAATTGTCTTTTCCCTTGCAATGAATTTCTCTGACATGATGGTTTCAATTTGCATTTTGTACTTTTTTGTTTTTAGCACTATTGCTCTTAAAAGAAAATTAAGAAGCTAAATCTTTTAAAACCACCTAACATTACTATCTCCCAGCTTAAGCCTAGAAAAATAGGTGTTAAAAGTTGAATGCCATTTAATTTCAGTCTCTCTAGTAGATTCTTTCTGTGCATAGACATATATTGTAACTGCTTTAAGCATACCACAAAATAGCTATTCTAAGGTTTACAGTAAAAACATCTAAGAACTGTGCTATTTAACATTTTTTTTTACAAATGTCTTGAATAAAGGCATTAATCATGCCCATCAAATGTGCAAATGACACAAAAGTAAGTGGGGATAACTATATATTTGATGAGAGTCAAGATCCATAAAAATCTCTACAGCTAAGAATGTTAGGGCTGATGAAACCTAATAAGGAATAAATATAAAGTCTTTATACTTGGATTTTAAAAAGTAACTTGGGGCAGCTAGGTGGTGCAGTAGATAGAGCACTGGTCCTGAAGTCAGGAGGATATGAGTTCAAATCCGGCCTCAGACCTAACACTTGACACTTACTAGCTGTGTGAACCTAGGCAAGTCATTTAACCCCAATTGCCAAAAAAAAAAAAAAAGAGTAACTTCACGATTGTATGATGGAGAGGTGTGGCAGAACAACAGAGTATCAGAGAAGGATCTGATGGCTTTATGCTACCATAAGCTTAGTATGAGTTAAAATTATAACATGGCAGCCAAAAAAGCAAATGGGCTACATTAAATGAAGCATAATGGCTGTAACTAGAGAAGGGATAGTCTTGCTGTACTCTCCCCCTGGTTAAGACCACATTTGGGATTCTTTGTTCAGTTCTGAGTGTTATATTTTATGAAGGACGCTGAATAAGATGGAGTGATGCTCTCCAACAGTGAAGAGCCAAATGAGAAAAAGTTGAAGGAAATAGAGATGTTTAGCATGGAAAAAAAGAAGATTCAGGGAACTCGTGATAGCTGTCTTCAGGTATGTGAAAGATTATCCTGTGGAAAAAGGATTAGATTTGTTCTATATGGTTAGAGGGCATAACCAAGGGACAATGGGTAGAAGTTAAAGAAAAGTACATTTTAGTTTTAAAAGGAAAATTTCCTTACAACCAGCCATTCAGAATTGGAATGGACTGCTTTGGGAGCTGGTTGGTTTCCCCTCATTAGAAGTCTTAAATCATAGCCTGAATGACCACTACTTAGTTATGTTGTAGAAGGGATCTTGATCAGGCTTAGATCGCTTCAGAGGTTCTTTTCCAATTTTGGGAGTCCTCTCTGAATCCTGCCTTATACTTCCTATGTGTACTGATTTAAATTATATACAATCATGAGTTCCCTTCCTTTTCCCTTTGCAAAAGTTATATTTGTTCATTCAACAAACCTTTATCAGGCACTTAGTATGTGTAAAACACTGGAGATACAAATAAATGTTGTATACAATATAAGGTCAATGATATATACAGCACCATGCACTATACTAAGTTATACATATACCATATATACATGAGGCTTCCTCCTCCTACAGGCTTATATTCTAAAAATTACATACCTTTGCAGTTTTGTCTAATTGGGGAAAATGCAAAGTTAGAAATTGGGAAGCAGTAGCCAACTAGAAGTAATTCCATAAATTGAAATTCTGGCCCCTAACAAAAATTAAAGGCTCTCCCCACTTCTCTTCAGTATTTCAAATATTCATAATTCATCATCATGGGTACATTCCCCACCATTGGCTATTGTGCCAGAAAATATTAATCATGTGGTAGCCAACTTGTTGGTTTGCAAAACTTATCTCATCCTAAATACAGCAAACCTGTCATCCAAATTGTCATTGGGCAACACTATGTTGTCACTATCATGCTTTCATGAGGCATCACAGAATAACTTTAGTGAAAGCCTCCCTTATTCTCTAGTCATTAAAGAGTAACATTTTTTCCAGAAAAAAGTGTTTCTTCCTTTCATGAACTTCTTTTGGATTTATGGGTCATTGTTTAAGTAGTATTAATACCTATGGTTGGAGAGGAAGTTGTTAACTCTCTAATGTACCTTTTACTAAGGATTTATAGCAAAATACAAGATCAATTGATACTCATTTGCTACTAGGCTTTTTCTAGGATGTTATCCACTATTAGAATCTTTTTTAATAAAGTCCTTTTCTATAATAACATTTAAAACACTAAATGTTCTAAACTTTCATCATTACATTTGTTAAGAGAAATATTTTTGCATGTTAATTGGCTTTATTCTAAACTTAATATTAATTCATTCACCCTTATAAGAATGAATAAGATGGGAAATTTACAAAAATATAATAAAACCTCACAAGTTTGTATTAAATGGGAGGGAGGTAGAAAACTCTTTTTTGGATTTGCTAAAATGTTCACATTATAGAATAACATAAAATAGCAATAAAATTATTATGTATATATTCAAATAAAGTTGAAATATAGTATTACTGTTCCTGTAATACATACAACTCTGAAATCTCATCCTAATGTCTTCTTACTAGGGGGAAGAAGGAACCAGAATCTGGTGAAGTGCCCTATTTGTCATTAATTCAGACTTAAAGTCCAAATCTGTGGGATTTTATTTTACTAGAAAGAGCCAATAAATACACAATACTGGCCAAAGGTTATAACATGCATCCTTTGATACATATTTCCAAAAAGCTTCTAATATCACCTTAAATATCAGTTTGGCTAAAAATACCAAAGGTATAAGATTGTAAAAATTTAGGATGTTTAGACTGATAAAGCACTTTAGGGGCATCTAGGTGGCTCAGAGGATAGAGCACTGGCCCTGAAGTCAGGAGGACCTGAGTTCAAATCCAGCCTCAGACCAAATACTTAACACTTACTAGCTGTGTGACCCTGGGCAAGTCACTTAACCCCAACTGTCTAAAATAAATAAATACACACACACACACACACACATATATGTATATATGTATATATGAGATAAAGTACTTTAACAGCTTAATCAGGACAAAGAGGGGGGAAAATAATGATTTTACTGGAAAGCAATGCTTAAATCTGTAGCCAGGTTAAGGACTATTAGGCTTTTGATAACATACAGACTTTAACCTTTTTGAAAAAAAATTTCAAACTGAATAATTAGTTGATGTTTCTTTGGATAAACTATGTAATTAAAAAATAATTGCAGTTAATGTTCAGCCACTTAAAATACAAACCTTGTTGAAGTATTTGTAAAGGATAGCTCTGATCTCAGCAGGAGTCAGGCAAATCAGTTTTTCCATAACATTTGCCTCACTCTGGGTCAGGATTTGGAATGAGGCTCTAAGCGAATGCTGACGACTCTGGATATTTTCATTCTTGTAATCAATTGCAGCTTCTAGTGCTTCAATCCCTTCTTCAAGCTGGAAGAGAAGATGTTCTTCCTAAGGATAAAACACAATAGGAACCACTGAATTTCAAGTGAAGAGGTTCTATTGTTGGGCCTCAACACAATCTCACTAACAGAGAAAAAGATTTCCACTCTGTATGCTACTGTGGAAAGAAAAATACCTGATAACTAGAGCACTCACCAACCTCTAGTTTCTCCTAATAGGCTTAACAGGCAGGCAATAAAGTCCGTATTCTCTTTTCTGTAGTGAGATTTGGATCAGAAAATGCTATGAAAAAGGTAAAACATAAGAGACAGCTAAGTAGAGCATTAACAAATAGAAATCAAAGGGAGCATTTTGAAAGGGAAGGAGAGAAAGCAACTGGTTCATTTGTTCAGTTGTGTCTGACTCTTCATGACCCCCATGGACCATAGATGCCAGGCCCTTCTGTCCTCCACCAGCTCCCAAAGTCTTTCCAAGCACATGTTCATTGCTTCCATGACACTATCTACTATTTCATCCTCTGCCATCCCCTTTTTCTTTTGCCTTCAATCTTTCCCAACAGGAGGATCTTTTCCAGTGAGTCCCATCTTCTCATTATGTGACCAAAATATTTAAGCTTCAGCTTCAGTATTTGACCTTCCAGTGAACAGCCTGAATTAATTTCTTTAAATATTAACTGATATGATCATCCTTGCTGTCCAAAGGACTCTCAAAAGTCTTCTCCAGTACCACAATTCGAAAGCGTCAATTCTGTTGCACTCCACTTTCCTTACATAGCCAAACTCTCATAGCCATATATTACTATTGGAAAAACCATGGCTTTGACCATAATATATACCTTTGTTGGCAAGATGAAATCTCTGTTCTTTAATATGCTATCCAGATCTACCATAGCTTTCTTTCCAAAGAGCATACATCTTTTAATTTCTTGGCTGTAGTTGCTGTCTGCAGTGATCTTTGAGCCTAAGAATATAAAATCTGACTTCTCTTCCCTCTTATTTGCCAAAAAAGTGATGGGACCAGTTGCCATGCAGCAATGAGGACTTTTTAATATATGATAAAAGACTGGGCTTTTAAATCCGGCCTCAGACACTTGACACTTATTAGCTGTGTGACTATGGGCAAGTCACTTAACCCCAGTTGCCTCACCAAAAAAAAAAAAAAGACTGGGCTTTTTTTTTTTTAATCCTTAGGATATGATGGGAAAAGAAATGTAAGAGCTTAGAATGAATTTCATGTTAACAAAAGGAAAACCTTGGGAATCATTATTGACAATCATTATTGTCTTAGAAGTTCTTGACAACTGTCTTGATATGTCTTTGAAATAGAACCAATTTATATACTGTTACCCAAAGAATATAACCTTCTACTCCAAGCCCTACTGATAACAGATTGCTGACAGGTACGTGTATATACGTGTGTGTGTGTGTGTGTGTGTGTGTGTGTGTGTGTGTATAAGGGGGAATGGAGAGGGGGAGAATGTCATTATATGTCTTAGCAAGAATTTGAAATATTTTTGATCAAGCTGGGAAAAGGTATGCTGACATTTAGAACTTTATACTGGCAATTCAGAGGAAAAATACATAGTAATTTATCCCACCAAGTGTTTGAATAAGACTCTCTTTTATAACATGGTTTTAAACTATATCCTGAGAGAATAAGTGTTGAAAACACTATTGGGTATTCACTCTAGTTTTCTGAAGAGTCACTTAAATATCAACATAGGGATCTGAATTTATCCCCATAGGGAACAAAATAATATTCATCATTATCAGAAAGTATTTTAAAAATTCATGAGAAAGGACCAATATTTTTTTATATATAATTACCTAAATTCCTAAATCTGTATGGAACATCTGTGTGGATGTGGCCTAATGAGTTAATAGTACAAAAATTGGGGCAGCTAGGTGGCGCAGTAAATAGAGCACCTGAGTTCAAAAGCGACCTCAGACGCATAACATTCACAGCTCTGTGACTCTGGGCAAGTCACTTAACCCCAATTGCCTCACCCCCTCCAAAAAAAATAATACAAAAATCATTTGTATTTTAATGCATCTTATTTCATAGGAAATGTCCTTCTCCATATGTTTTTTACCTGGGTTAATATAACAATTTGACCATACATACACTTCTATGGCACTTTTAAACCTGGTAAAGCTGGAAGTTGGATGATGACCTCTGTTTTACAAATGAGGTCCCAAAACATGAAATGATTTATCCAAGACCACACAAGGGTCAAAACTAGGCTCTGAATCCAGGCCACAAAGCAGGCTTGGGGTAAGGCTGGTCTACCTGCCCTGCCCTGTGAATCCATGAAGCAGTTCTGCCCCTGGGGCCCATGAATAACAAGGTTCTATGGATTTAAAATGTGTGCAGTTCTGGAGTATACCTTGACCCAGAGAAGGCAGAAGCAACTTTGATAAATAGATGCTAGGTAGAAAGACAGAATCCAAGTTGTTTGTCATGGAAATTCACCAAGGAGATGTATACACATGTAACAGTCAAGAGCTGGCTTCATGTGCTTTATCTAGATTATTTAAGTTCAAACACTTGAGCTTATTTGTTGATATCCAAGCTATTAGGCATCCTATACCAGAAGAGGTAACTAGAATTTTTTCATTCAAATGATATACATTATTCACATTTATCATTCACCAGGAAACTTTTAAGGGGAAAAGGATTATTTTGAGAAGAAAAACTATGCTCAGAACTAGTTTTAAACAAATGAGTTGTCGTCCAAATTATAAGACAGTCTGGTGGTGGTGGCCTTGTATCATGTTAGAACATTAGAGTGTATGATTTATCATCTTCAGCTGGCCAGTCTATATGGCAATACTGACATCTTTAGAAAAGGATGAGTTGCAGGTATATCACCTTTAAAGCTGACTAAAGCAAAGCATAATTATATTAACCTAGAATATAGTTATTAGGAACTTGTGTTTAATAAATAAAGTCTCAGAGAGTGAAAGGGGCTCAGCAAAATGCCAAACAAATTCTGGGTTGCTTCAAGACACCTATCAAAATTATGTAGCTCTTCCTCCCTGCACACCACTGCCTCTCCTCTATCCTTTCCATTTTGAACTTCACCATTCAATGGACTCCTACCAATTAATGAATTAAATTAAATTCTCAGCCTAACAATCAAGGTCCCCCACTAATTGACTCTCTTCCCACATTATTACCTATCGTGCCCCTTCTGCTAATGCCATATCCAATATGTAAACATTTAATATGTATTTGTGTACAATGATCATCTTTCTATTCCATGAACATGTCATACTTCATTACTGTTACCTTTTACCCTACATAAATTGGCCGTGTGCAGACCCTTCTCCATAAAGTCAAGCATTTTACCTGTTTT